GCCGGGCCTTGGGGGGGTGCCGGGCCCAGGGACGAGGTCTAGGACTCAGCCGTCCGCGTGTGCTCCGCACCCCGAGGCCTTGCGGGACAGCGCCTCGGAACCCAGCGCGCCCTAGGGATGGACGGAGATGCCTGAGAAGCCGGCTCTCGCTTCCCCCCACGGGGGCAGGAGGGCGAATGGGGCCCTCCTTCCACTCCGGCGTGCCCGGGCATCCGGAGCAGCTTTCATGCACTCCTCGGGTCTGCCTTCAGCCAGCAAGCCAGGCAGAGTGAAGAAGCTTCCAGAACGCTCACCTAGTGCCACTGTTCTCAGTACACACAAATGCATGGGGCTGCCCCGAGCTGAGTGTCCTGCTGTCTTCCCCACATCGCGGCAAGCGGGGTGACCGAGGGCGCAGGGCGAGGAACCGCTGAGGGAAATCAAGCCCTGCAGCCACCCCCTGCACCCTGCTCGGACCCATAAGCTGCACTTTCCAGGGGAACCGGCTCGGTCTCTCCACCTCCGCCAAGAACCCCGATGCTCCACCTGTACCTGCCCGGGATCCGCATCTGCCTTGACCTGGAGAGTATTTGGAGGAGAGTGAAAAGCAGCGGCACCTTGATTCCAAGCCATAAATGGCATGTTCACGAGGTGCTTTAGGTGACCTGGGCAATTCCCAGTGCCCTACAAGTCACAGCGTTGTGGGTCACAACGTGTGCAGAGCAAGGTCTAGGGTCCCATGGCTGCACCTGCGCAAGGCCCAGTCCCACCCTTCTGTTGCCAAGGGAGGCAGCCAGGCTTAGAACTGGAGCTGCACACCCAGATGGCCAGTGGCCAGGTGGATGCGGAGATGGGAACCATGAAGAGCTGAGGCAAAGCCGAAGGAGGCCCCAGCAAGCTGGGTAGAGCTGGCTGGAGAGGCCATCCTATCTGGTTGTTCATGAGAAGTCTGTAACCCAGACTTTTATGTAAAAGTTCCTGACTTTTCTATAACTCTGTGCAGATTGAGCAAAGCATGCCTGCGGGCCAGGATCTGGTAGTTTGCCATCCCTGAGCGGCCAGGCACAGAAATCAAATAGCTTTACCTGGGTGAGGTTCAACGCCGTTTCCTCTGAGAGAGGCTTCTTGGGTAATTTGAGGGACACATTTCGCAGGTGATTCAGTACAGTTCCTGGACTCTGGAAGTTTTTTCTCGTCTCTGTCAAGTTGATTATGATGGGATAGTAAGCGTTGGAGGGCATCTAAAATAAATGACAGGCGTGAGTTCAGCTAGGGATGAAAGCCAAGAAGTCCCACGGAAATTCAGTGTGCCCTCCTACAGCCCCGAGACGATGGCAGCTGCGCCTGCTCCATACCAGGAGGCACTTTTCCGACTGCCTAACATACTGACCTTTCATCCTCTCAACAACTTCAAGAACGCGCCCATTTGAGAGATGAAACCAAGCACAGGGCGGCTTACCCAGAAATACTTGTGGAACTGGGGTTTGAACCCACACCGATGGTACAAGAGTCTGTGACCTCACTGTTCCTTAGAGTCCCCAAATAAAGTGGTGTGATTACAAATACTAATTCCAGAGGAGAATGTTTCTGTATGGATTGATCTTCCCTCAAAGATCGGGAGAAGGGGCACAAAGAGAAAACGAGCATCGGTCCCCCCGCTCTCCGCTCACTGTGCCACCTGCCCAGGAGACGGTCTCAGCGTTCATGTCCCTCGGCAGTCTGGTTTACTTCCTTTGACCCCTGAGGCCACAGACCACAAGAAGCAGAGGGCTTTCCCTTCAGTCAGCCTGAGCATCTAGAATTAGTGCCAAAGTTAGCTTCTCCAGGGATGCTTTCTTCCCAGACACTATACTGTCAATAAGAAGAGCCAGACTGTCTAATGGAATTCAGTCCTGGCACACAGGCTAAGCAGAAAGGCTTCAACAAGGAGGGCCGAGATCAATGCGTGTGCTTACCACGGTGTTGGCTGGGGGTGTCATGAAGAAGCTTGGTGGCGTTGAAGACAACAAAGCATGCTTTCCTGGAAAGAATCGGTAACACTTCATTAAGGACTGAAACATGGTCAGTCTTTCACCCGAAGGAAGCCCTGTCTTTATTCGGAACTCTTCAGCTTCAGACACATCTAAGACAGTCTGAGAATGTTTCGAGTAGGAATGCTGCTGGAAAGATAAAGGGCTAATAAATCAGCTTAATGGGCAGATTGTATGGATTTTCCCAGGTCACGTTACTTTTCTATTTATCTTTCAAATTGCTTTTGAACACCCTTCATGCAAGTCATATAAAATGATGATTTTATACAAGCATTTACCGATTTCAAATAAATAGAGAACCAAAAGAAATCGCCTTCCACTGCATCTGGACTAGTTGGAGATGGAATACAGAGGGCCATTAATCTCTGGGCTAGGACAAACAATCCATCCGGCCAAGCCTTCCCTCCCAGACAGCTGGAGCAAGACAAAGTTGGGGGGGGGGGGAACTGTCCTCTTGAGCCCCTTCAACCCTGAGGATTCTAGTTCTTCTTTCTACTCCATTTGGTTAATCATAAATAATTACAGATAAATGAGGACATCCAGCACCAAAGATAAGCCATATTTGCTCTTCGCCGCCTTTTTTCCACCAATGATTTCTAATTTAGCATTTCCTGGTAAGAACACAGACTGACTAGATACTCTACCTCATTTTTGGAAAATCCCTCAAGGTTGCTTGGGGTGACCCAAGGAAATGACCTCATCACCCCTAGTTAGCTCCAGTAGTACCCGGCCCCCTGGGTTGGGGTGGGGCTGGGTAGCTGGGGACAGACACAGAAGGGGAGACACTGCCTGGAGTGCTAGAGCCCCAAGCATTCTGTTCCCCAAGTCAAAGTGACATTTGTTCCTCAGGTGCCCAGTAGTGACAGAAGAGTCACACTGAATCCAACTAGAACTCACGTGAGTCCACAAAATAAAGTGCAGTAGAGTAAGGATCAGCCCAGCAGTCCTGCCCACCCTCGCCCCTGATGACCCAGTGGGGCTGAGAGAAGAAAGGAGACTCTTTCGTGTCCTCTGTCAGTCTCAGGTCCCAGAGGGCTCTTATTTTGTGGGCATCTGGTTGGGTGGGTGTGTTGCCAGTGTTCAGAGATACATACTTGGAAAGCCAGACCCTGAATGCAGCCTTCTACTTCCTCTGGTCCCTGTTGGGGAGTGGCCATCCACTGTAGCGCTGGGGGCAAAGCTGACCAGGTGATGAGTGATCAACACTCTGCCTTTGTATGAATTAGAAAAGGCTACCGCATGTGGCCTGCTCTGGCTAATGGATTAGAAGGGGACCCCCCCTTCTGGACAGGTCACACATAAAAATGCCTGCTTTCGGCACATGCTTCGTGTGCAGACCGGGCTTTATGCAAAGAACAGGTTCTGCCTCCTACGGACCAGCCCCAGCAGGGCCTTGACCTGGGCTAAGAGCAGGCTGGACCTCAGCCCAGATGCCTGTCTGCACGCGGCTGCCTTAAACCTGGCTCTGACGGACCGACTCACATGGGGCAGTGCAGGGGACTTGCAGTCATTTCCTCTGTATGTGCTTCATGTCACATGACCTGTCTTCAGAACCAAGTCCCCAAGTAATATGGGGTCTGATGGGTCTAGTTCTGGTTCAGCAAAGATGCATGCATGTGCTCCCTGGGACACACAAGTGTTAAGGCAACACCTCTCCTGAATCCCCCCAAAATCAAACACCACCTTCACAGAGCACAGAGGGCGAGGTGACCTGAAACGCTGTGCTGTGTGTGGGGCTGCTGCTCCCCGTCCCTGAGCCCTGGGATGTCCTGGGGACAGGGTTTGTTGGGACAGCTGCAAGAGCCAGAAACAGTGACACCTCTTTCCGGTGTTAATAAAATGGTACAGTAGCAGGAAGGCAGGATTTGTTTGAGGCTTTCAGTAACACAAATACAGATGTCGTCTTGGTCTCGGAGTGACAAATCTCTGAATCTTAGGCTATAAAATGCAGGAGATTGATATATTTTTTTTATTGTACAGGACCTATATTTTGTCCTTATGTCACTTGTATGAAAGGAATGAATTCCACTTTCTCAGTGAAAAATGGAAGCCTCAAAGGCTGCCACGGACAGAGACCTCCTGCACGCACAGCGGCCTTGCCTGCTCCCAAGACCGGCAGCCCCAGTCGGCGCTGGGGAGTCCCCTCTCCTCCGAGTCTAGATGCGGCTGACCCCACTGCCGTGTCAGAGCTGGACTAGGACCCAGGCTGAAGGCCGTCAGCACACTCTGCACCCCCAGCCGGAGGACTTGGCTCCTGGGAAACACGTGGATCGGTCTGGCCAAATGCAGCAGATGACAGAAAAGAGAAGCCCCTTGTCTTCTGCTGAGGATGGGGAGGGGACCCTGGAAGGAATGGCAGCCACGTTGGCACCACAAGAAGGAGGCCGAGTCAAACACAGAAATTCCTGTGACACATGTGAGCACCTAGAGCAAACTGGTCTTGAAGCAGATTTTCTATTGTTTCCGTTGTGTGAGATTGTTTATTCCCTTCTTGGCGTAAGTCACTTTAGTTGTGTTTTCTGTCGCGTAATCACAGGGTCCTAACAGCTGAGGGGTTCACTGTCAGTACCGGGGGGGGGCCGGCTTTCACTGGTGTGGCATCAGTGCGGGTGGCCAGCCAACGGATGCTTGAGCGACTGTCGTTTTTGGCAGATGATTTTATCTTAAAGAATCAGTGTGGGGGCGCCTGGGTGGCTCAGTTGTTAAGCGTCTGCCTTCGGCTCAGGTCATGATCCCAGGGTCCTGGGATCGTGCCCCACGTCGGGCTCCCTGCTCGGCGGGAGGCCTGCTTCTCCCTCTCCCACTCCCCCTGCTTGTGTTTCCTCTCTCATTGTGTCTCTCTCTGTCAAATAAAT